TTTAAATTATGTATTGTTTTGTGTTGTTGTCAAATTGTTTGTATCCCCCCTTCCCTTGTTTTGAGTTGTGAGCCGCCCTGAGTCCCTCTCGGAAGAAAAGGGCGGCATGCAAATGAAATAAACATCAACATCAAACATCAGCTGCAATTCTCTGCATTTTTGTGGGGGGGGAAAGGAGCCTTAAATTTCTTGCTTAAGCAGCTAGATGCCAAGCTGACCTCAGAAGGTAGGTTTTGTCTGGCCTTCAACAGCTGCTTATTAACCAGGGAGGTTAGCTGGATGGACACAGACAGACATATACACAGACATATGTACAGATATACACCATGAAATAGACATAATTCCAATCTTCTCCATTTGTACCAATCATTCTCTCTACACCCTAGAGAAATGCATTGCTCATCCTTCTGCTCGGGGCACAAAACGATGCGTCAACGGGTACCTGGATCGGGCTTTATCGTCTCAATGATCACATCTGTCATCTCCCGCCGGCCGAGGTGTTGGTGGATGATGGTCGCCCTCTCCACGGGCACCTTGCCCTCCAAGGTCACCGCAGAGGCGGCCAGCGACGTCTCCGGCCTCCCCTCATCAGACATCTCAGTAGCTGAAAGGCATGAGTCACACAGCTTCCGCACAACACAGCAGCCACACCGGACCAGCTAAACCTGAACCAGCCCCGCGCACGGAGGGCAGTTAGGCTGTTTGGACGCCTCCCTTCCTCCCCTGGGCCAACGTCCGTCCTCTGCCCTACAAAGAGGCCGGGAGCCTCGTTCCTCCCCTCTGGTTGCCAAAGAGATAAACAGGGCCACAAAGAGAGAGAGAGAGAGGGAAATAAAGGAGGCCTGGTGGAATTTCGCTCTAAATCAGGTTGTTTTTCCAACCTTGGGGGCGTTATAAAGACGGGAGGACTTCGACTCCCAGAATTCCCCAGGCAGCTTCAGAGCGTTAAGGCGGGTGGACTCCAAGTCCCAGAATCCTGCTGGGCAGGGGATTATGGGACTTGGAGTCCACCCGTTTTAAGCCTGGAAAACACCGATTTAGATAGCAGGACCTAAATATTTCGTCTTTCCCGGCCTTTTTGCTTCCTCTGACGGCTCCCCTGATCCCTTTCGCCGCCCCCTCATCCGCCTGTTCCCCCTTCCCCGCAGCCCTCCTAACGCCACCAACCACCCGGTCCTCACCGGCAGCGCTGTAAGAGAAGCCGCCCGGCACGGGCGAAGACTCGGCCAGCTCCAAGCGAAGGACCACCAGGGACACACTCATAAGGGCCGCTCCGCGGAGGGTCCCGGGCCTGCGGGGGTCCGAGCTCGGAGTCCGGGAGGGAAACGGGAAAGGAACCGGAGGCCTCCGCCGCCTCGGAATGCCCAGCGCTTCCGCTTCTCCGCCCCCCTGACCTTTGACACGGGGGCAGGAGGGGCGGCGCGCAGGCGCAGGGCGCGCGGCCGTGAGGTCACGCGGGGGCAGTGGGCGCCGCTGGAGTGGGCGTGGCCAGAGACTCCTCCCCTGCTTCCGAACCCGGAAGGCTGCAGCCTCGCTTCGGTCCAAGGTCTCCCAGGAGGGGGCAGAGTGGGGGTGGGTGGGAGTGGAGCATGGGACCTCTTGGCTGTGGAGGATGGGCGGTGTAGCCGCCCCATGGCTTTTTCTTTTGCTTTAAAGAACCCCTGGTTGATTCTGGAGGAGGAGGAAGAGGAACCTTCCAGGGGTTGGCTGGTTGGGGACAATGGGAGTTGGGGTCTAGCGCATCTGTCGGGGGGGGCTAGGAAGGCTGAGGCCGGGAGGGGAACCCCTTCCTGGAGGTCGACGGGCAGGAGAAGCCAAGTGAGATCTGCCTCCAGGCGCCTCTGTATTTTGGGGTGAGGGGCTTGCCTGCCCCCTCCCTCCCTCCATGGGGGGGGGGGGTCATCTCTGATCCCTCCTCTTCTGCAGTTCGCTGGAAAGCCACCAACATGATTGACTGGACAATTACTTAAGTGAAATGTTTTTTATGTAAAAAAAAATAATATGATTTTGATGGTGTAAGTTGCCTATAGCAAAACAGACCCAACAGATGAAATGTGAAATGTGAAATCTGGTCTAATTTTGAAGACCATTTAAATCAGTGTTTTTCAACCACTGTGCCGCGGCACACTAGTGTGCCGTGACATAGTGTAAGGTGTGCCGTGGGAAAATTACTTTATATATAGTCAATATAGGCACAGAGTTAAAATTTTTTAACATTTTCTAATGGTGGTGTGCCTCGTGATTTTTTTCATGAAAAAAGTGTGCCTTTGCACAAAAAAGGTTGAAAAACACTGATTTAAATCAAGAGATAAATGAGACGTTAAAAAAGCGGGGCGGGGAATTTGAGAAACATATTTAGTGATGGAGCTGGCGTTATTGCAAGAGATTAGGGCGACTGGAGAGATGGTTTATGTACTAAGAAGGAAATAAGTTTAAGATTAAAAAAAAATAGGGAAAGAGAATAAACGTGGCTGAAATTAGAAACAGAGATAAGATGTAAAATGGATTATGTATATGAGAGAAACATAAATGAAAAGATCCGGACAACACTTTGTTCATAATAATATGTTAAAATTTGCAATAATTAAAAAAAAATAGAAATGATGCTGCTATAACAGGGTCTCTCAATCTTGGCCACTTAAAAGATGGCTCGGCGTCAACTCCCGGAATTCCTGGCTGGGGACTTCTGGGGGTTGATGTCTAAGTCAGTGTTTCTCAACCTTGGCAACTTGAAGATGTCCGGACTTTAACTCCCAGAATTCCCCAGCCAGCAAATGCTGGCTGGGGAACTCTGGGAGTTAAAGTCCGGACATCTTCAAGTTGACAAGGTTGAGAAACATTGTCCTAACCACTGCTGGGGAATTCTGGGAGTTGAAGTTCGGACATCTTCAAGTTCCCACGGTTGAGAAACACTGGTCTAAGTGACAGGGTTTTAAAAGAAATCTACACAATCATTTGCATTGTTTCAAAAAATATATCCCAGTATTACTAAGGGAGTACATTCCATGTAAATATGCTCCGAGATATTCTCTCTTGCACTGAAAAGCCCTTCCTTCTCCTTTGACATGCACAGTCCCAGAAGCATGGGCTTCGGGAGAGTTTTCCGAGCCTTTTGCGGCTGCCCTGCAAGGAGGAGGGCACCGATCCTTCGGCCTTCCTGGCACAAAGCCTCAGATGTGGCCCGGTGGAGGAATTACGCATCCTGTCCCTACAGAGCGGTCATCTTTGACATGGGTGGCGTTCTCCTTCCTTCTCCATACAAACTGGCCACGGGTAGGTGACTTTCCCAGAGTTTATACCATCACCTCCTCTTCCCTCGGCTGGCTCTGTCTGCTTTCAGCTGCTGAATTTCTCCCACCAGTGGATCTGGGTACTTGAGAGACCGCCTACTGCCAATCACCTCCACGCGACCAATTAGATCCCATAGATTAGGCCTCCTCCGAGTTCCATCTGCCTGTCAGTGTCGACTGGCAACCACGCGGAGGAGAGCCTTCTCGGTGGCACCTCCGGCCCTATGGAACGATCTCTCCGTGGAGATTCGCACCCTCCCCCCCCTCCAGACCTTCTGCACAGCCCTTA